GATTAGCTTTTACTTAATCCTGTTACACCAATTTAAAACCCAGATTCGAAATCTTTGAATATTTTTTAGCAGAAGTAATACTAATTTATTGAGATTTGCAGCTGGATTGTGGATAAAAATGGGTGTTTACCCTTTCGCAACAGTTGAATCAGTAAATCAATAAAACCTTGAACGAGTAAATTTAAAAAAGTAATCAACAAATTATTTGAATAGAATTTTAGCAAAACGTTTATTATCATTGCTACGTAATTAACCCAAGTCAGAGAAGACCCCATCAAAATTTCAGAATCATTATAATCTTTGTAATGGAAGGTTCTCCTCCACAATCTGGATGAAGGTAAGAGAGCATTATTAATTTACAAATTGAAAGTCAATTTGGATCTGTAGTTTAAAAGGCATTTGGGGGAGTGGCTCACCAAATTATATTTCTAATTTAGTGAATTTGACTTCATCTTAATGAAATTGTAGTGTGGTTTGACAGAAACAACTCCAGACGCGGTCATGGGGGGCCTTTCTCCGCACAATCAGTCAATATATGCATATATCCACCTTTTGTTGTATTTTATTGCCCTGGTGGCATTCTGAGGGCTTTCCTGGGTCCTTAGCTGCCAAAGTTTGAAAATGGCCTCCCATTTTCACTTTTCCTTTGATTTCTTTTATTCAAATTTTATATTATGTTCTTAGGTATCATAAATCCGTTGTTGACTTCTCCATCTACAGACTGTATGACGGTAGTTGGCTTTTCTTTCCCGAGTAATTGACCGATGAAGGTGGTTGGAGCCCCGGAAGGAGGTGGGGTAATGGGCCAAATTAATTAGGGGTTGACGAATTGATAAAAGCTACTATGCGGTTTTTGAAGCCCAAACGGCAAGCGCAAGCCTCCCACAGCTTCTATGAAGTTTTATAGCTGAAAACAAACAACTTCCATAATCATGAACCGTGTTGAAGCTTTGAAGGACCTTTCCACGCTGGAACCCTACAATACCGCTTTTACATTCGAAGTCTTTTAAAGACAAATTCGTCTTACTATTAATATGATACCAAAGTTATACAAAGTTCAAAACAAACAGCCTTAAGGAGAAAAAGAGAACATATACAGTAACTCGTACAGAAACCCAAGGATATAACAACCTCCACCTAAGGCGCCCAAGGCAGAGCAAGCAGTCCATCCCTGCTTAGTATATGTACCACAGAGGAAGACGGCAATAATATTCATTTAGAAAGGCACATCCCCTTTTTTGATTGGTATGCACCCAAACTACAGCTAGAATTGCTTTCTTGCTGACACAGTTAAACCGAGAATCTTTGATAATTGTATTATATAAAGTTATCTTACATATATTTGAAACCTAAAATAGAGCTAAGTTCTTCAGTTTTTAAGTAATTTATAGGTAGTTTTATACTTTCTTAATAATAGTTTCAACTATGTTATAGCTGTTTCATTTTAAACAATTTTAGTTTAATTTCTTGTTTAAAAAGTCCTAATTTCAGTGCGAGGAACTGGGGCTTTAATGGCAATGGATGAAGGTAATTGTAGAACATATATGCTGCAATGTTTTGAGCGTAACGTGAGCTATAGAAGTCCAATTGGGATGATTTTTGGAATGTTAGAAGCTAAGAGGAGAAGATACAACTTCCATGTTCATCACTCCACCAAGTTCTGATGAGATCAAGGTCAAAATCACCTCAAATTAAGTAGAATTGCTACAAACTCAAGGCAGAAGGTTTGGCGCCACAGCCTCAAATCCTTCCACGTTACAGCGCCAACCCAATCAGCTAAACAAGCTTCCAAAACAGAAGGTTTGGCGCTGTAGTGTCAACCTTTTGGTGCCACAGTGCCAAACTAGCCTCAACACTAGGGAAAACAGTGTGTTTGGCGCTGCAATGTCAACATGAATTTAATGATATCTTAGCCTTCGATTTTTTTATCAAATGGCATGATAGGGGGTGTAAAAGGTAATCTCTTTGTTCAGAAAAAGGGGCCTGGAGGCAGAGAGCTTTTTGGGAGAAAAAAGAAAGCTTTCTACAAAAAAAAGAAAAGGAAAGAAGTCAAAGGAGGATTGGATTCAAAAAAGCTGCAGCAACTCATTTCTCACAATAGTTTTTGCTTTCTCTCTTTACTTTTTATTGTAAAAATGATTTATTTTATGAAAATATTAAACTTTGCTATAAATATAATGAGTTAGATATCTTTTTCTAGAATTGTAGTTGTTCTCTTTATGTAGTTTGGTTATTTAAATGCTATTTTACTTATTATTAATAGGTATTATGTCATTTATTTCAAATCTAATCTTATTACCTCCAATTGCTTGGTCAACAATTATATTAATTTGTATCTCTAATTGCAACTAGATAAAGAGAGTTTAGAATAGACCAAGGGTTTGAATAGTATTTGTTCATTTCACTTAAAAATTAAGTGATTTATTAGTATTTAGAATAGAAATATACTTAAAAATCATATGTTGCCAAATTTAGAGCAAAAGCTTAGTGAACTTACCTTTATTAATTTACATAGACATATGAAAAATTAATTATAATAGATATGTTTACAATATCTCGACAAAGACTTGTAAATAAATTTAGATTTTAGGTTAGCAACTAACCTATTGATATAAGCATAAAGAGAGAGCTTAAATTCAAATGAAAGGTAGAATCATTCTACAACCCTATACTTTAATTCACTAATTCTCTAGCAATTTCTAGCATTCATTCTTTAGTTTAAACTTGTTAATTTAAGCTTAATTTTTTTATTAATCTTCAAATTAATTTACTTGGATAAGATTACAGTGTCTTATTTTACTATTTAATAAGAAATTATACACAAATTCCTTGTGGAGACAGTACTTTACTTACTATTATGTTACTTGTGCGACATGTGCGCTTGCGTGTGTGTAAAACCAGCAACAAGTTTTTGACACCATTTTTGAGGAATTATTTTTTCTATTCTTTTGCTAATATTAATACCAAGCAAACTATTATTAATTCAAGCTTTGTTTTCTTTATTTTTAGGTACTTTTTGGTCAGTGTATAAAAAGATTAAGGAGCTTGAAAATTGTCCTTTGTGATTCAGAAATCGAGAAGACTTTCCGAAGATTACTTAGACAAAACTCTCAAGACTCTAATCAATCGGAGAGAATGGTTGAGAATC